AGAGGAAGCAAAATAAACTGTCAAAGTACAAAAAAATCCCTCAGAATGGCTCTGCAGAAATGCACGGCATTTCTGGCACCTAGATGCTTTACTGCGTAATGTGCGTTCTGTAGGTCCATTAGAGACGGTGAAACCCATCCTAAAATCCTTTGTGCTAAAATGATCCCAAATTCTATTAATTTTGACAAATTTTACAATAAAATATATCTACTGATTCTCTGTAACTGTCAAAGTAAGCAGAAGGGGCAGTATCTGCCACCCTGTTTCAGAGGCCAGGAAACAAACAGATAAAAGCTGGATTTGCATTCCAACTCTTGGTTTTTGCTGGTTTTACAGAAAACGTGTGACAGCTTTATCCTGCCGTAGCCCCAGAAATGAGCTCCTGACCTGTATGGCAAAGTCTATCAGCCCGTTGATGTTCAGCGCTGGCTCCATGAGGTCAAAGATGAGCTGGATGTGGTGAGCCAGGGGCAGGTGATAGGACGTTCCCGAGGCAAAACTCGTGATCTGCTCGAGAACGTTGCTGGAGATCTGTGGAAATAAATCCTGGAGAGTCAGGTGGTGACCAAGGGCTTCTCCAGCACAGCAGCACTCCAGACCTCTTTTATGAGGGGTGATGGCAATCACCAACAAATCATGCACAGGCGTATCTGTTAATCTACCACCCGCTGTTTTATTTCCAAAACTGACAACATAGAAAATGCTGTTCTGCTGCTTCACAGCTGAGTCAAATGGCTCTTAGCATCCACAGTACTGATGTTTATTCTGTGAGGTGCTTTGCTTTAAAGAGGAAGCAAAATATTTTTTCTTTCCATCTTACTGCACTGTGATTTTTTTACTGATGCATTTCAGATAATAACCCATTATCCTGCAAACAGAACAAACAGAACACATAATAAATTCCTTCAAAAGACCGTCATCATATAAATTAAGTAGCAAACGTAAAACTTGTGAAAACCTAGATTTGCTCCCTATTCAATATCTCTACAGCAGAACAAGAAAGGCCGGGGTTTCACACAAGGGAGGTACCTGGGAGGTGACCTGGTGCTGATCAAAGTAGGACAGCTGCTGCAGCTTTGCGAACACCGTCTCAAGCGTTGGAAATGCCTCTTGTTTGGTCTTCCTGGCTTTTTGCGCTTCATCCCCAACTGAACAGACACATTATTTTGGTCGTTTTATATGCAATGGAGCCCTAGTAGTTTTGCATTATTATTGATTTAAAAGACTATTAAAATACAAATAAGCTTTACATACAACTATATAAAGCCTCAGTTTTCCATTACACTTGGGACAAATATAGGCCCCAGCACGTACGAATGTCAAACCTACTCTGAGGTTACTCCAACGCAAAAAGGTGACACCCAAGAACTGAAACCAGCCCCGGTTTTACTGGAGGGTGAGGACTACGCACCCCTCGGTGGCAGTATCTCTCATTCTTTAACCCGGTGCGAGTGTTTCCAGCCCAGCTGTGCTAATGGGAAACGGGGAGCTCTGTCCGCAGCGGTCGTCTGGGGGTGCAGGGGCTCAGCCCTTTGCTCGTGACCGCGGAGGGGACGGCAGCCAGACGAGGTGACCAACATGTGGTCATGGACACCAGCACCGCACAGCCCCCGCGCCCCTCGCCCCAGCAGCATTAACGCATTTACCCCCCAGCTCAGTCGTGCTCTTCTTGTTCAGGATTTTGAGGATGTCTCTAGTGATCTTCTTCAGCTGAT